TTGTGTTGGTTCTCTTTACCATTTGGTATGTTTTTGGAGTGGCTGGTACTGGTTTTTTCTTTCTATGTTTAGTACCTCTTTCAGGAGCTCTTGTAAAGCAGGCCTGGTGGTGACGAAATCTCTGAGTACTTGCTTGTTCGTAAAGGATTTTATTTTTCCTTCACTTATGAAGCTTAGTTTGGCTGCATATGAAATTCTGGGTTGAAAGTTCTTTCAGGATTTTGAATATTGGCCCCCACTCTCTTCTGGCTTGTAGGGTTTCTGCTGAGAGATCTGCTGTGAGACTGATGGGCTTCCCTTTGAGGGTAACCTGACCTTTCTCTCTGGCTGCCCTTAGGATTTTCTCCTTAATTTCAACCCTGGTGAATCTGACAATTATGTGCCTTGGGGTTGCTCTTCTTGAGGAATATCTTTGTGGTGTCCTCTGTATTTCCTGGACTTGAATACTGGCCTGCCTTGCTAGGTTGGGGAAGTTTTCCTGGATAATATCCTGAAGCATATTTTCCAGCTTGGATTCATTCTCTCCATCACATTCAGGTACACTTATCAAATGTAGATTAGGTCTTTTCACATAGTCCCATATTTCTTGAAGACTTTGTTCATTCCTTGTTACCCTTTTTTAACCTAATCTTGCCCTCTTGTTTTATTTCATTGACTTGATCTTCGACCTCTGATATCCTTTCTTCTGTTTGTTCAATTCAGCTGTTGAAACTTGTGCATGCTTTGCGAAGTTCTCGTGTTGTGTTTTTCACCTCCATCAATTCACTTATATCCCTCTCTAAGTTGTTTCTTCCGTTAGCATTTCGTCGAATCTTTTTTCATTGTTCTTAGTTTCTTTGCATTGGGTTTGAACATGTTCTTTTAGCTCAGAGAAGTTTCCTTTTTTTCTTTTTGTTTATAGTGGTTTTATTCATAATTGCCAAAAGCGGAAAGCAACCGGTATGTTTTTCAATAGATAGATAAATAAACATAATGGAATACATTGGTATAACAGAATATTACATAATAAAAAGGCATAAGCCCTCAAGCATGAAAAGCTGAAATACATACTGTTAAGTGAAAGAACTATAGAGACAACAAAAAGATAGAGTTGCCAGAGGTCTAGGGTAAGGAGAGAGGGATGAATAGAAGCAGCACAGTGAATATTAAGATGGTAAAATTACCCTGCATGATACTGTAGTGGTGAAAACATAACTTTATGCATGTATCAAAATCCACAGAACTGCACAACACACAGCAAATCCTAATATAAGTCATATATTACAATTAATAATGATGTATATATATTGGTTCAGTAATTGTTACAAATGTACCATACTAATGCAAGATAATAGGGAAAATTATATGATAGGAATGTAAGCAGGTTTATAGGAACTCTGCACTTTATGCTCATTATTTTTGTAATCCTAAATGTACTCTAAAAATAAAATGAATCAATTTAAAAAATTAATTAAAAGTCACTCATTTACTTTCAGATTTTTTTTTTTTTTTTTTTGCATTTTAGGTTTTGGGGTACATGTGAAGAACATGCAAGATTGTTGCATAGGTACACACATGGCAGTGTGTTTCTTATCACCCACCTTCTGAAGCCTGATTCTGTCAATTCATCACACTCTTTCTCCATCCAGCCTTGTTCCCTTGCTGGTGAGGAGTTGTGATCTCTTGCATGAGGAGAGGCATTCTGGTTTCTGGTGTTTTCATCCTTTTTGCACTTGTTTCTTCCCATCTTTGTGGATTTATCCACCTGTCGTCTTTGTAGTTGTTGACTTTAAGATTGGGTCTCTGAGCAGACATCCAGTTTGTTGATGATGAAGTTATTTCTTTGTTTCTTAGTTTTCATTCTAATATTCGGGCCCCTCTCCTGTAGGACTGCTGAGGTCCACTCCAGGCCATGCTTGCCTCAGGATCACCTGGAGCTGCTGTAGAACAGTAAGGGTTGCTGCCAGTTTCTTCTTCTGCTATCTTTGTCCCAGAAGGATACCTGCCAGATGTCAGTCTGAGCTCTCCTTTATGAGGTGACTCTTTGGATATACAGGGGTCTGCCTCAGGAGACAGTCTTTCCTTTATAGGAGCTCACGTGCTGAGCTGTGAGCTCTGTTGTTCATTCAGAGATGCTGGGCAGGTACGTTTAAGTCTGCTGCAGCAGAACTGATAACCCCCCCTCTTTTTTTTCCCAGGCACTCTGTCCCGGGGATTTAGGGCTTTATTTATGAGTTTCTGTTGTGCTGCTGCCTTTTTTCAGGGCTTCCCTGTCCAGCCAGGAGGCAGCCTAGTCACTGTCTGCCTGCAGAGGCTTTGCTGAGCAGCTGTGGGCTCCAACTAGCTGCTGTGTGAACTTCCCTGCAGTCCTGTTTACATGGGTATGGTTAGAACTGCCTTGGCAATGGTGGCCCACCTGTATAATGGTGGACTCTCTCTGTAATGGCGGGCTGCCTCAGCAATGGTGGACTACCTCAGTAGTGGTGGACTGCCTCATTAATGGCGGACACCCCTCCCCCACAGAGCTGGACTGTCCCAGGTTCAGCTGTGCTTGTTGTGAAACTCTCAATCCAGAGCATTTCAGATTGCTGTTTTTTTTTTTATGGGGCTGGGACCAGCCAAGCCTGATCACCTGGCTCCCTGCCTTAGAGCCCCCCCCCCTTTCTTTTTTTGGGTTGAACGGGTGACTCTGTCTTTCAGTGTTCCAGTCGCCTGTTGAAAAGGCACGAGGATCTGTGTGATTTCCTGTGCAGTGACCCACTGCACCAGCTGAAACAGCTGTGCTGAGATTCATGGTGCTTTTGTGCCTGGGAATCTCCTGGCCTGTCTCCCTGTTTCAGTCCCTGCCTTTTTTTATCAGTTGAATGGGTGAATCTCTATCCCAGGAGCTCCAATCACCAGCTAAAATGGTGCCCGGACCCGTGTGTATTTTGTGTGGAGGACCATGGCGTCGGGCACTGGCCAAAACAGCCGTGCCGGCCGAAACAGCCATGCTGGTGACCTGTGGGGCTCCTCTGCCAGGGAATCTCCTGGTCTGTGGGCAATAAAAATCCATCTGGATATGCAGTGTCCACTCACCCTCTGCGCTTTCACTGGGAGCTGCAATCCTGAGCTGCTCCTAATCAGCCATCTTGGATGTCTCCCCCCTAAGGTATTTCTTAATCCCCAGAGCTCAACTACATTCCATTTTGCCTGCATATTCTTACTCAGGCTTTCTCTCTTTTAAGACTTTGCTGGAAGCAGCATGGAGCATTCAACATACAAAATCATTTTGAGTGTTTCAAACAATTGTATTTCTAGTTGTCCTTAAAAACTGAAGGTCTGCCTAAAAGTTGTAACCAAGTAGTTTGACACTAGCTTCCCAAGATGTGATATCTGTGTTTTTGCCACTCACCACTAAACCATTAAGAAAATCCCAAAAGTTTTTATACTTTTGTATGGCAGTTACAGCTTCCTGGTTACAGCTTCTCTATTAGTTAAGTTACAGATAAGCAGCTGCGAAAAGGAGACGCAAGGTGAAGTGGCTCTAATGAGACAAAATTCATTTTTTCTCAGTGCAGAAGATCTATACCTTATCTAGATCTCTCTCTATATAGAGTAATGTATATATAATAAATATATGCTCACATAGAATGTACATGATAGTATACAGGACACAGGTGAGTGTACAGCCCATTGTATCTTTATTTTTTAAGAGAAAGAGACAGAAACAACAAACAGAGTGTGTATTATAGAATTTGCATAAGCTAAATGGTAATATGTTGCTACTAGAACATTGTTTTCTTCTAGATAAATAAACTATTGATATTCCTTTATATGACCTACAATAATCAATAAATCACCAACTTCAGTTCTTTTGGTCTGGGTTCTTGCCTTTCATTCTGATGTGAACTTTTTTTTTTACATCTGAGATGTCATTTAACATTTTGGGGCCTCAGTTTTCTTGGCTAACAACAAGAATTTGAACTATAATGTCTCTGAACGTCTGCCAGCTGTACTTCCTGTGTTTGGATGTTATTGGTATCAGAGCTAGCTCTCCTTTTCCTGAGTTTCTGGCGTGTTCTTGCCTTGTAGAACCTACAGATATGGTAACCAATGGTGCTTCCTTCTTCCCAAAAGCATCTCATGCTCTGATATCTGCCTCTCATTTGTTTCTCAGAATGTCTGCCTTTAACCTTTTTACCTGTGGGTGCTGAGGACCTAGCAATGAACCAGGTCTAAGTCTCTTACTAATGTAGATTAAATTCATAGATCTGTGAGTGGCTTCTGTCAAGTGTGTAAGACACCATCAATATATTATGCACAAGTGAGATTTTTGTTCCAAATTATTAAGCTAGCTTTATTTTTCATTACAACTCATTTTATAGGTTTTTAAAAATGCTCGAGTGGCAAAAACTCAAATTGTTTTTCCTCTGCTCTCACCCTACAACAGTCAACACAGAAGACTTCTGTGACCAAATATATGTAGAGCTTTCCTCACTAGCAAGCAGCCCATCAATTCTGCAGTGGCACCAGGTGAGTGCCCTCCAATTCAATCCTAACACTGTCTACTCAGAGATTGTGTTAGATCCCACAGGTTAAGGGCCTAGTGCCCCCAGACTGTCCCACATTCTCCTTGCTTCCAATGCCTATTGCAAGCCTCAGGTTATTTTGCTTGTGCTTCTATAAATCAGGATTCCCATGACCCCTCCCTGGGTTCCACTGATTTGCTAAAGTATTTCACACACCGAGGGAAACACTTAAACTTACTGATTTATTATAAAGGATATAACAAAGGATACAGATGAAGAGACACATAGGGCGAGGCATGGGAAGGTGCACAGAGCTTCCACGCCCTCTCCACATACCAGTCTCCAAACACCTTCACCTGTTTGTCTATCTATCTGGAAGCTCCCCAAACCCAGTTTTTGAGGGGTTTATGAAGTCTTCATTCCATAGGCATGATTGATTAAATCATTGAGGATTGATGATCAGTAGACAATGATCAATTCATTGGCCATTAACTATAAACATGTGGGTACTTTTTTTTTTTTAAGAACTTATAAGACCATATTTCACTATTTTCTTGCCTTCATTTTTTTTAATGAAAAGCCAATTACAGTTTGTTTTTATAAAACGATGACATTTTTCTCAGTCATGTTTAAGATTAAGCCTGCAGCCCTTCTCCCCTCCTTGAAGGTTGGAGTTGAATGTCCCAATCCTCTAACCCTGCTTAGGTCATTCAGATGACCAACCCCCAACTTCAAGCTGCCCAGGACTTACCAGCTGTCAGTCAACTCATTACCATAAAAAAAGACACCACTTTGGAGATTCTAAGGATTTTTAAAAATTGTATTGCCAGAAACAGGGTAAAGGAACAAATATACATTTTACAATATCATAGCTATATATCTTTGAAATGTTCTTTGTATTTTCTTGGAACATTTCACAGATTAGTAACTGAATAACAAGCTCACGAATAATTCAGACTTATACTAAAAAATCTTCGTTAATTCCTCACATCTTGAGTATTTACCATTTCCATTTACACATTTCCAGTGACTTCTTTTTTATTCAATTCTAAACACGTGGGTTTCTATCTGGCACCATGTCCCTTCTGCCTGAAGATCTTTACTTTTTTATAGCATAGTTCTTCTTCTGACTAATCTTTTACTCTTCTTTGATTTGGAAGTGTATTTAATTTGCTTTTACTCTTAAAAAATATTTTCACTGTACATTTCTGGGTTGATATATATGTATATGTGTGTATAAATATACATGTGTGTGTACATATATTTTTTTCTCCTAGAGCTTTTTAAGACAGTATTTCACAATTTTCTGGCCTCCAATTTTTCTAATAGAGAGCCAATGATAAATTGCCTTTTTGTTCTAAACATTATGACATTTCTGTCAGCCAGGTTTAGGAGTCTGTCTTTTTCCTTGGTTTTCAGCAGTCTAATGCTTATGAGAAAATATGTGGTATTATTTGTATGCACCCTATAGGAGGATCATGAGCTTATAAAAACTCTGGCTTTGAGAAATTTTTGGTCATCACCTCCTAAAATATTTTTTCCTACTTGTTTCTTTTTGTCTCCTATAACACCAATAATGTGTATGTTAGAGCTTTTTATATTCCCCATAGGTTTTGTTACCAAACTAAAGTGAGTCCACTCATACAGTGGGTTAATATTCACACAGTGGCCAAATATTCACACTGAGGTTTGCCACTGCAGAATGGAAGGCATTTATTTGCAGGGTACCAGGCACGGAGAATGTGGCAGTGCATGCATCAGACCCATCTTCCTGATGGCTTTCAAGCAATTGTCTTTAAAGAAATGGGTATATTTCAAGAAAGCAAAAGTTACAGGCAAAATCATAAATCAATATATGGAGCTTATTCATTGCTTTGGTTTAAAAAGATGGGATATCTTGAAGCAGAGGCTTACAGGTCATAAGTAGATTCTAAGATTTTTCTGATTTGCAGTTGGTTAAGGAAGAAAAGTTTTGTTTAAAAATTTTGGGTCAGCAGAAAGATATGTAAGTTCTGGCTTGTAGACGTGACTTCTTCCAGGCCCCTTAGGAAGACCATTGAAACAATTTAGTCCTCAGTTCCCCTTTATCACTCCTGCATCTGAAAAAAAACAGGGGCATATGTTAAGACGAGACATGTGTCAAGATGTTATTTTTAGTTTCTATCAAGAACCAAATATCTCATGGCTCTAACTTCCTTGGCTATTGTCTTAAGCTATGATTACTTTCTTGCTTATCAGGTTGCTCATTTACTTCTCAAGGCTTGCTAGGTGCCTGGAATCTCCCTTGAAGGGACTCAAGATTCTCCATTATTTTTGTGCTGGGACAGGGGATTTGGAGTAGGATGTTGGGAAGGGTGCCCAGTATGCTCCTGGGCGTAGGAGAGGGGTTCCTACTTTCTTTCAATTTCTGAAGTTCTGATAATTTGTTTTCAATATTAGCTGTATCTTTAGATTGAGTACCTCTCACTGATTTATTTTCACATTCACTGAATTCTTCTGTCATCTCCATTTTTCTATTAAATCCATTCTGCTCTAGTAATTTTATTTATATATTTCAGATATTTACTTTATATTTCTAGGATTTATCTGCTGACGTTTTTTCTATTAAATCCATTCTGCTCTAGTAATTTTATTTATATATTTCAGATATTTACTTTTCTAGGATTTATCTGCTGACGTTCACTATCTTTTAGCTTATTATAAGTGTATTTTCTTTAACTTTATTCAGCACAGATATGAAAACTGCCTTAGAATTTTTGTCTGCTAATTCCAACATCTAGGTCACCTGGGAATTGGAAATCATTCATTATCTTTTCTATTTAAAATATGTATTATATGCCTATTTCATTTGTGTGAAATAGCTTTAGATCTTATTCTGAATTGTTAAATAATATGTTGTAGAGATTCTGGATTCTGTTCTGTTCTTTCAAAGAATTCTCAGTATTTTTAAAGCTGGTTGTTAACTTGGCAGAATTCAAACTACAAACCCTGTCTGCCTTGTGGTTGATTGTCTGTTCTCAGACTTGTTCCTTAACTTTAGCTATGCGGCTTGGAATTCACTTTGTAAGGCATAATTCAGAATTCATTCGGACATTGGGGCAGAGGTGATTCATGGAATTGAGGATTCCTGTCTCCTGCTTTATCCTTTCCAGGATTTCTTCCCCACTTTCTGTTGGCTGTAGTTGCCTTAAGCTCAATTCTCTCATTCTTCAGACTAGTGAAATTGTAGGCTTCTTACATACTCGATGAGATATGCAGTCTGTGACTTGTCTTCTAGAAAATAATCTCTGAAAATGGAATATTCATAGAGAACTATTTCCTTTTTTAAGTGTCAAATCTTGTCCAGGTTTTGCCTCTACTATTCACTGCCCAGTGCATTTGAGTAGTTGCTTTTTATAGTTTTTCCAGAGTTGATAGCTGTTTTCTCTGACTTTGTCTTAATAAGAACTATTAGCTATTACTGGACGCAATTCTCACATATCCACTCCCATCATTTGCATGTAAGTAGATGGCTACATTGCTTAGTCTGGCATTCAGGACTCTGCACAATATAGCCCTAACTTCATTTTTAACCTTCATTTTACACTTCCCACTTACATTATTATGCCCTTACATATTACAGTCTGCTACCTAATGCAATCATTGAGCAAGAGGTTTTTGAATACTTTCTATGTATCAGGCAGCTGAGAATAAAACTGGCATTTCCCTTGCTCCCTTGGAGCTGACAGCCTAGCATGGGTGATTTCCAACTGTGCTAGATTATTACTTCACTGAACATTTTCATATGCTCATTTACCTCCCCTCTATTTTAATTTCCTCAAATTTTAACTTCTATTTTTTTTCTATCTATCAATGCTATCATTCCCAAATTCTGTTTCATCATACCCAATAGAAACTATATTTAGTAGTTTCTTCTTTCACTGTGGAAATTAAAGAATGGTATAGATTTAGTGCACTTTTATTGTGCTACAGTGTTCATCCCACTGTAGGTGTATGGAAATGCTTAGTGAATAAGTTAGTGCTATTGACTGCCTCCTAATTTAATTTATAATTTATCTTAACATTTAGGGAATGTACAAGTTAGTTGCTGATAGAACAAGTGATTAAAGGCTGCAAGATTTCAACATATAAATGAAACGACTTTAACTTTCAAAACATTTTGAATTGAAAATGTCTTACCTGCGTTCTTTCCATACCAGTATGAATCATCAGCACCTCAAGGATGAATCATCAGCCTTTTATATTGATGTTTCACTCTTTTTTTTTTTTCTTGACAGAGTCTTGCTCTGTCACTCAGGCTGGAGTGTAGTGGCATGATCTCAGCTCACTGCAACCTCCCCCTCCCAAGTTCAAGCAATTCTTGTCTCAGCCTCCTGAGTAGCTGGGATCACAGGCGCCCGCCACCACGCCCAGCTAGTTTTTGTTTTTTTAGTAGAGACAGGTTTTCACTATCTTGGCCAGGCTCGTCTTCTTGAACTCCTGACCTCGTGATCCACCTGCCTTGGCGTCCCAAAGTGCTGGAATTACAAGTGTGAGGTACCACGCCTGGCTGATGTTTCACTCTTAATTGTTTGATTCCCTCTATCATGATGATGTTTGAAATGCTTTTGCAGTAACTTTCATGTTCTTTCAACCTGGGAGTAAATAATGAGAATCTGAAGGTCAAGGAGGAACATTCTCTTTAAACTCTTTGCATTTATCATTTTATTTGTTCTCTGACCTGCCAACCAAGAATGGCCTCAGAAGTTAGCGGTGCAGTGGAGCTATTCAGGTCATGTAGAATGGTTCAAAACCAACAGAGGTCCAAAGAGCAGTTTTTGATACTTGAAACCATGTCTTTACTTAAAATTTATTGCATATGCATTAGTAACTTTCTCTTAAAAAAAAGAGAAATACAAATGTACATGTTCAGGTAGATAAAAGGTAAATCACTGTTCTCTATTCCATGGGATTCTATCTCATGAGCCACAAATCTGAGTGCCGACAAAGGTTTCTATACCACTGCTGAGTGTAAAAGGATGTCTGTCTGTGAAATAGAGGTTATGTAATGAAATGCTAGAATTTCAGAGTAATCCAGTGACTAACAGAGCTAGAATCAGAATCTGAGCTGCCCAGAAATACCCAAAGCATAAGACCCTCACAAATGATTCATTTTAATACAGAAGTGATGGCCTCTATCTAGTGCACTATCAAGATCTGGAGTTTCTTGATAGCAAGTTTGTATTTTATTTTGGATCTATCATTGCACATTGTGCAATCTTGAAAACACATGGGAAAGGCTGACATTCAGCTCCAATATGGCCAAAACAATGGTGTAGCTACTATCTGTTCTGATTGTCAGTGCCTATACCATAGCAATTGCCAAACATTTTTATTATATGATGTTCTCTTTCTTTCAGACACATACATACACTCACACACAAAGGAGTGTTTTATTTTAGAGTGCTGATTGAGTTTCCTTGGAGGAAATAAAATACTTTGCAGCAATGAGGTAAGATTATACATTTTAGCATACCCAAATGAATGTTTCTTCTAGATTTTATAGGGAGTTGATAGGCACTGTATATATGCATCTATATGTATATATAGATATGAATATACATGTGTCATATACATGCAGAACATATTGTATATGATATGTTTGCATTCTAGAGTGTATATATAGATATACATATTAATGTTTATACATACAGATACATATTCTATATCACCCCTCTACTGGGTTTGTGTGCTCTTGTGCACACAAATAATTTTCAGAATTTTATTTCTGAGACACACCATGTGTTTACTTGTGACTCCATTTTCATGATTAAAAACATCCTATTCTGTGAACCCACTGCAACTTTTTCAGTTTTCTGCTGATAAATGTATATTGTTTTCAATGTTATTATTTTATAAGCAATGCTTCATTCTTTGTTATGCTTGCTATTAATAGCATATATATGCAAGAGTTTCTCTAGCATATATGCTGAGAAATAAAATTGCTAGATGATAAAATACAGGCATCTTCAACTTTATGGGATATTGACCAATCATTTTTTAAATAGTGTAAATCAATTTATGTCACCAGCAATGGGCAACAGTTCTTTTGTTCCACATCTCTTTTAACCCTTGACATTGTCTAACTTTTTATTTTCTTTAGATAATGGAGTAAAAATGTATCTTATTAATTTTTTATTTCTCTGATTTAAAGTCATGTGCTAGAGAATATTTTCATGTATTTATAGTTCATTTGCATTTTCTCCTGTATGAATTGCTTGTTGAAATCTTCTGCTCAGTTTTCTATTAGGTTTGGTTTACTCCTTAGAATATTATTTTTCTCAAAGATCATTCCAAAAAAAATTGGAAGGATGTCTTTTTCATGAATAGAAGTGAGAATATATAATGTGAACTTCAATATGGCGAGCAGACACTGCTTATTCTTTGAAAAGATAAAAACACTAAGGCAATGTTGATCAGTGGACCATAACAGTACTTGGATTCCTGCTTAATTACAAATTGGGCATTGAGAAGGGCTTCTCTCCTGCCAGTAATTATACTGGAGGGTTGCCTTGATAGTAGTGGTCTTCTGGTCTGAAAAGAAATCATGTACACCTATGTGAAAGTGCCCCTTATGTGTCCAGGGAACACACTGTGAAGAGTCTGAGTCCAACTCGTACTCACTTTGACTTATCTCACTGATTATAGAACAAGGCTGCTGTCCAGACCTTACTGGCTCTTCCAAGCAGATGCGCACAGGTGGCCTGCAATCTCAAGTGCTCTTCTATAAATAAAGTTTATTAGGGAATTAAGTGATCACTTGTCCATTTTGAAAGGAGTGGATTGGACCCATGAGCCTGGCTGCTTGAAGATTGTAGGGATGCCCTGGCATCTTCTTGTCCAAGGAAGCTTCCTTTTCTAGGTCTTTCTGTACCTCTAGAGATTTCTGGGTTTTTTTTTTTTTTTTGTACATAACACGGTCCATAAGCGATGTAATGTATATTAGATTATGTAGGGCATAATAAAGCATTCATGTTTTCCTTCCTCAACATATAGAAAGCAGATGTGTTTCTAAAGCTGCTCAGAAAGTGAAGGTGTAAGGAAGAAAAAAAATCATATTTTGTAGCCAAGAAAATGAAAGAATTATATTTCCAGGCTAGGGTCATGATGTGCATATGGGCTCACCTCTACACCTGGGTATGCCTATTTGCCAACTAAAAAAAGGGGGACGTGAATGACCCATTTCAGTGTAAGTTTTCTGTGCCTGATATTTGTGGTCACGTTGAGATGTCCATAAAAATTAATGATAATAATAATGAGGCAAAAAACCTTTAGTAGGCTGAAGTTTCATCTTACTGGGAGCAGGTGAGATGGCTAAGTCTGCTTGGATTTTATGGGTCATGTTACAATGGGAAATTAGACTAATTTATTTGAGTCCCAATTTCCTGATGTGTAACATGGAGATGTTGTCATACTGCTTGAGTCCAAGTACTAGTCTTAAAACTAAAAATAATAATAATTATTATTTTATACCATCATTTTAGCAATGAAAAATGACTAAAACTCAAGGTGTTTTCCTGACTTTCCCGTGGATATACAGCTGATAAGTGAAATCAGGTTTAACCTAGACCCTACATTCAGTGCTATTTCTGATAATATACCCTTTCTCTCCTCTTGATATATAGAGATTTGTTTATCAGATGAGGCAGTAAATATAAAAGTGTTTTGAAGAAACGAAGCCTGCAGTCAGTTATATACTTTAAGGTATCAATTCTTAGAGAGGGGAAAAAATGCTGTATTTAGATTCACCCTTTGCCAATTATTTACGAACAAGCCACGCGGTGCTCCACCAATGTGCAAATTATCATGCCAAATGCTAGGAGTGCCAAACAGGGCTTCCCAGTCTTGGCACTAGTGGTATTTTGAGCCAGATACTTCTTTGTTGTAGAGGTTGCCCTGATCATTGTGAGATATTTAGCAGCATCCCTGGCCTCTACCCTCTAGACACCAGTAGCACACCACTCCTCCCCAGTTGTGACAACCAAAAATATCTCTAGATATTGCCAAATGTCTGCTGGAAGGAAAAGTGCCTCCTTAGCCCTCAGCTGAGAAGCATTGGTATAGGAATACAAAAGGTGCTCTCTATTATCTAAAGAGTATGTATGACGTAGGGTAGAGGGTGATGTTGGACTTAGGGTAATTTCTGCATGTGTATCTCAAATGAGAAAGCTGAGCAGGTTCACACTGAACACACCATAGAAGGCCTTATGTGGGCTGACAAAGAGTTTTGTTTCTAGTCTTGGTCTTAGATTCTTATTCCATATGTATGAATAACAATGAAAACGGCTATGCCAAAAGTCTCACCACAATTTTAGGAATGAAGAAATGCTGCCTTCCCTTTCTTAACAGTGGTCTCTCAAACAAGAAGTTAGTTTTTGATAATACGAAATTTTCAATTTTATCACAAATAAAATTTCAACAGAGCATGTATTTTATGTCACTTATTTGTTATTGATTGATTGACTTTTTAGAGATGGCATCTTGTTCTGTCATCCAGGATGAACTGCAGTGGTGTGATCATGGCTCAGTGCATTCTTGAACTCCTGAGCTCAAGTGGTCCTTCTGCATCAGCCACTGGAATAGCTGGAACTACATGTGCAACCACACTTTAAAAGCATTGTAAGAGACAGGGTCTCACTATGTTTCTCAGGCTGTTCTGAAACTCTCAGACTCAAGCAATCATTCCACCTCTGCCTCCTGAGTAGCTGGGAAAACAGGTGTGAACCACTGCGTTCATCTCTGTTAAAATTTTCAATAGTACAAAAATGTATTAATTAAAAGTATATATTTGTTTTTAATTACCCTTATGTGAAAAATCTTTCCCTGTATTTTCTGTTCTATTGAATGGTCAGATTTTTTTGATTGGGTGTATTTGTCTTGTCATTGGTTCTGCTCCTTTACTAATTACACCAATTATTAATCTCTGCATCTATATTGTCTTTAATCATTTTTATTATTATTTTCTCTCAAGCCTGTCTTCCAACTTGATGGATACACTGGTAACATTATCTATTCTATTTCTTGATGCTTTCACTATGCTTTTTATTTCTGTAACAATTTGTTTATCTGCATTTTTTGAGACAATATGGGACATGTTGAAAGAAGAAATGTTGAAAATTGATGAGACGAACAAAAGAAGGAAGAAAAACCAAAGAGAAAAGCAAGGATGAATACAGCAAAGCTGTTTGATATCTGGAACCGTGGACAAAGATCAGAGATTGAGACAGCATGTGAAGACGTCAGTGGGGCTCACACTGAATTTGAGCCAATTCCACAGTTTCTGAATGGGACTCCTAGGTGTGGATAAATGGACTTAGAGCACAAGACAACTCATGGGAACTAAGCTGATGGAGAGTGAAGAAAGGAAAAGGGACAAAATAGGGTGACTGTATTACTTTGGGCTCTCCAGATAAACAAAACCATGAGGATCTAGCTATATCTGTCTCTACTCTAAGGAATTGGCGTACATGACTGTGGAGGCTGAGAAGTCCAAGATCTGCATTCAGCAGGCTGGAGACCTAGCAGAGCCAATGGTATAAATTGCAGTTTTAATCTGAGTTTGAAGGCAGAAGACCTATGTACCAGCTTGAAGATAGAGCATTTCTTTTTATGTGAACCAAGAGTTTTGTTTCTGTTTTTGTTTTCATATTTTTAATAGGCACAAATAGCAACAAAAACTGCTGTAACAGGAGACAACACATTTTAGGAATAAACTGTCTTCTCCTTCTTAACTGTGGTCTCTCAAACAAGACATTAGTCTTTGGTGATACTACATTTCCAATTTTGTCACAAATAAATAATACATAAGTGACATAAAATACATGCTCTGTTGAAATTTTGACATTCAATAGATTAGGTGAGGAGCCCATCCACAATGGGGAGAGAAATCTGGTTTACTCAGTCTGCCCATTCAAATGTTAATCTCATATAGAAACACTGTCACAGACACCTGCAGAATACTGTTTAACCAAATATCTGGGCACCCTGATTTGTCAAGTGTACAAATAGAATGTATCATCATGTTGGCCTCGTGAGGCCACTTATCCATAGATCTAGTATGAGAGACCTTCCCTGCTACACACATAAAAGCCCCAGTTTGAGCTCCTATTCAAGGAGTGCCCTGCATCCTGGTTCATTCATACATGCTCTGCACCTCTAACATCGGCGGACACACATGACACACAAGAAGGATGAGAAATGTTCCCTAATCCTATGCTGCAAATACTAGAAAAAGTAAAGAAATTCAGTGCTAGGCATGACTGTAATCAGGGTACAAGGAAGCACCACAAATAATCTAAGGCTAAAGAAATTGCATATTATTCTCTCTTGAGGGCTGATATTTTAAAAGTATGTACATATACAGCAAGGAAGGACTAGAACACTCACTAACTTTAGTATTCTCTACATGTTCTTAAATTCCCAATACAGTTAATCCCTAAAACACAAAGCAGTATCTCCATTTTAGTACCTACCTGTAAAGAGTTCATTTAAAGTAAGCTAGGGGGTTATGAGGTAATTACAATAACCACAAAACTGCAAAAACTTCATAACAATAAATATTCTCAAACAGAAGACCTCCCATTACAGAATAGTCAAAGTCATCACACATTATTGACAAATGCAAAACTTAAAAGTGAAAGTAAATCACAGCAGCTGAGTATACAAGCTGCAAATGTTTAAATTATTCCATTTACCAAGTTTTTAAATGATAAACAAAAATTCAGAGCTCAGTTTAAGTACATAATCAACAAAACCCAAGCATATTATATTTTAATGAGTTCCAATCACACTTAAGGAATTCATTGTGACATCCTGTAAGAGATGAGTGCTTGGATGCTCTAGGAAAGATGGTTATGGAGCATTGTTGTTGGTATCTGGATACTATAGGCAGAGCCAGACAGAAAAATGAGTGGTAATGTGAGCTCCTGGGGAGGTTCAAGAAGTCATAATAGGAGGAGGATCCAAGATGGCGGATTAGACACAATTCCAGCGCACAACACCCAGGGAGAGAGACGCAGAAACCCAGAGATCTCCTAGCTCCAACTGAGGTACCAGGTGCATTTCAACGGGTCTGGTCTGAGGGTGAGCAAAGCCCACTCAGGGCAGACCAAGGCGGGGAGGGGTGCTACTTCATCCAGAAAGTGCATCTGACAGGCGAGTCGGAGGTTCCACCTCTGGCGCTCCGGTCCAGATACAGCGCTTCCCCCAAAGCCTCAGCAATACACAGAAAAAGGGATCTTTGCCAGTCAAGCGCCAGGAATTACAAGTGCGGAGTTGAGTAAGAGTCTGCAGACTGAGCTACTGCCCCCTCCCCCCGCCCAGAGAGAGAGGGAGCTGTAAGTGGGAGCAGCTGGGCAGCCCCTACCCCGTGACTGGAGAGAGAGAAAGCTGAAAGGGGGAGACTGCTGGGCGCAGCTGGGCGGGTTCCTAACCTCCCCCACAAACCCCAGAGGGCTGAAGCTCTGACTCTAGTGGGTTGCATAGCCAGTGCCACAGTCTGAGATGAACCCGGAATGATCCAGCCCAGTGGAGGAAGGGCACAACCCACCACTAGAGGGGTGGGACTGGGCTACATGTTTTAACAAAAAACACAGGAAGCCTAAGTAGCAAGGAGATGGCATTCTTGACAACCCAGCAGCGCCTACAGGTCAGCAGAAGAGGCGGGCCTAATCTCCCAGCATAAACAAAAAAGACACAGGAAACTTCCCTAGTAACCTGAAGGAGTCCCTAGAAACCCAGTAGCGCCCCCACAGGCAGACAAGCGACCTCATCAAGCAGCTCTCTGACACCACAGCCAGGTAAATCCACAAAGATGGGAAAAAAACAGCGCAAAAAAGGTGAAACCACCAAAGACCAGAATACCTCTTCTCCAAGAGATCACAACTCCTCAACACAGGATCACAACATGACCGAGAAGGAGTGCGAAGAATTGATGGAAACAGGATTCAGAAGGTGGATAATAAACTTTTCAGAGCTAAAGGAACACGTTCTAACTCAATACAAAGAAACCAAAAACCTTGAAAAAAGGTTAGACTAAATGCTAACTAGAATAACCAGCTTAGAGAAGAACATAAACGACTTGATGGAGTTGAAGAATACAGCACGAGAACTATGTGAAGCGAACACAAGTTTTAATAGCTGAATCGATCAAGCAGAAGAAAGGATATCAGAGATTGAAGATCAACTCAATGAAATAAAAAGACAAGGCAATACAAGAGAAAAAAGAGTGAAAAAAAATGAACAAAGCCTCCAAGAAATATGGGATTATGTGAAAAAACCTAATCTACACTTAATCAGTGTACCTGAATATGATGGGGAGAATGAATCCAAGCTGGAAAACACACTCCAAGATATTACCCAGGAGAACTTCCCAAGCCTAGCAAGGCAGTCCAAATTTCAAATTCAAGAAATATAGAGAACTCCACAAAGATATTCCTCAAGAAGAGCAACCCCAAGGCACATAATTGTCAGATTCACCAGGGTCGAAATGAAGGAAAAATGCTAAGGGCAGCCAGAGAGAAAGATCAGGTCACCCAAAGAGGGAGGCCAATCAGACTCACAGCAGATCTCTCAGCAGAAACCCTACAAGCCAGAAGAGAGTGGGGGCCAATATTCAACATCCTTAAAGAAAAGAACTTTCAACCCAGAAGCTCCTATCCAGCCAAACTAAGCTTCATAAGTGAAGGAGAAATAAAATCCTTTATGGACAAGCAATTATTGAGAGATTTTGTCACCACCAGACCTGCCCTACAAGAGCTCCTGAAAGAAACACTAAGCATGGAAAAGAACAAGTACCAGTCACTGCAAAAGCAAATCAGTTGGCAAAGACCAAAAATGCAATGAAGAAAATGAGTCAACTAATGAGAAAGAAAACCAGCCAGTAACAAAATGGCAGGATCAAATTCACACATAACAATATTAACATTGAATGTAAGTGGCCTAAATGCCCCAATCAAAAGACACAGACTGGCAAACTGGATAAAAAGTCAGAACCCATCGGTGTGCTGTATTCAAGAAACCCATCTCACATACAAAGACACACATAGACTCAAAATAAAGGGATGGAAAAAGATTTACCAAGCAAATGGAGAACAAAAAAGAAGCAGGGGTTGCAATCCTAGTCTCTGATAAAATGGACTTCAAACCAACAAAGATCAAAAGAGACAAAGAAGGACATTACATAATGGTAAAAGGGTCAATCCAACAGGAAGAGCTAACTATCCTAAATATATACACCCCCAACACAGGAGCACCCAGATACATAAAGTAAGTTCTTAACGACCTAAAATGAGATTTATACTCCCACACAATAATAGTGGGAGACTTCAATACTCCACTGTCAATATTAGACAGATCGATGAGACAGAAAACTAACAAGGATATCCAGGACTTGAATGCAGAGCTGGACCAAGCAGATCTAATAGACATATACAGAAAACTCTACCCCAAATCCATAGAATATACATTTTTCTCAGCACCACATTGCACTTACTTTAAAATTGACCACATCATTGGAAGCAAATCACTCCTCAGCAAATGCAAAAGAACAGAAATCATAACAAACAATCTATCAGACCACAGCACACTCGGACTAGGACTCAGGATCAAGAAACACATTCGAACCCGCACAACCACTTGGAAACTGAACAACTTGCTTCTGAATGTTGACTGGATAAACAATGAAATGAAGGCAGAAATAAAGATGTTCTTTGAAACCAACCAGAATAAAGACACAACATACCTGAATCTCTGGGACACCTTTAAAGCAATATCGAGAGGGAAATTTATAGCAATAAATGCCCACCAGAGAAGAGAGGAAAGATCTAAAATCAACACCCTATCATCAAAATTGAAAGAACTAGAGGAGCAAGATCAAAAAAACTCAAAAGCTAGCAGAAGACAAGAGATAACTAAGATCAGAGCAGAACTGAAGGAGATAGAGACAAAAAAAAACCCTTCAAAAAATCAATACAGAGGCTGGTTTTTTGAAAAGATCAACAAAATAGACCACTAGCCAGATTAATAAAAAAATAAAAGGGAGAAGAATCAAATAGATGCAATAAAAAACGATAAAGCGGATATCGCCACTGATCCCACAGAAATACTAACTACCATCAGAGATTACTATAAACAGCTCTACTCACATAAACCAGTAAACCAGGAAGAAATGGATAAATTCCTAGACACTTGTACTCTACCAAAACTAAACTAGGAGGAAGCTGAAACCCTGAATAGACCAATAACAAGGGCTGAAGTAGAAGCAGCAATCAATAGCCTACCAACCAAAAATGTCTAGGTCCAGATGGGTTCACAGCCGAATTCTACCAGATGTACAAAGAGGAGCTGGTTCCATTCCTTCTGAAACTGTATCAAACAATACAAAAGGAGGGAATCCTCCCTAACTCATTTTATGAGACCAACATCATCCTGATATCAAAACCAGGCAGAGACTCAACTAAAAAAGGCCAATATCCATGATGAACACCGACGCAAAAATCTTCAATAAAATACTGGGAAA